GGAATTACAGGCTTGATACTGGCATGTCTAATTTTCTCAAACATCTTGATCAAAGATCGTTCTCACCTCTGCTATCTTTACTGATGCTAACCAGGACAGATTTTGGCCATAATAAATTCTAATGTTTTATTAAAACTTGTACTTGTGTCTCTGTAATGTGTAAATAGCACTTTATAAAAGCAAAAGGCAGTGCTATATTATGAATATAGTCACTCCACTGTGTCTCATGCTGAACAACACCCTTCAATATATTAGTGTTTGGTGTAGGTCTAAATGCCCTCATGTCAGCCAGGAAATGTGAAAGACGTTGTTCTCAGGATGTATGTGGGTACTGTCATGAACACCACACACTCTGGGCAGCAAGGGTTTCTTATTATGACACACTTTACCCACATCTTCTGCACATGCTAATGACAATACAGTTTAAATTATTTAGATATGCATGGTGATGTATGACAAAATATAACAAATAACTGCTGTTTAATTTGCAAATGAAACTATTCTTCTAACCAGAGCATATAAATACATACTGATTTATAGTTACACCAGTACTTGTACTTCTACTACTACACATAAGGGGGTTTCACACTTGAAATTGTTAACCCTGGGTCATCCGAAACCTGGTGTTACGGAGCCGACGAGACGAGAGGCGTGCGGATCCATGTGCAAGCTTTTATTAATAAACAGTCAAAAACACAGGCAGGTCCGAACAACGGCAAACAGGTATATCACAGGCAAGTCAAAGAATATTCCTAGGGCTAGCATGGGTCTTCGATCGGCGAACAGTATCCAGAGGGCTTGACAAGAGGGGTAATCCGTAAACGTGAGCATAAGTCCAGGCAAGGAGCAAACACAGTCCGAAACAGCAAGCAAAGGGTTAATCCAAGATACGTGGCAAGAATCAGGAACCAGGAAAACAGGCAAGGCAAGACTATGACTAGACTATGCAAACTAGAGCAGGCTCCGTAAAGTAGCTATCAGCTATCACAGTGATAAATGCTGAACAATACTCGGCAGTGAGAGAGAGGAAGTCCATGGCTTATGTAGCATGTCTGATTGGATTCAGCTGTGTGTGTGTAATCAGTGCATTCAGCTGTGTGTGTGTGTAAACAGTGCAGTGGATGATGGGAACTGTAGTCCGGGTGAAGTGCAACAGTAGTGTGGTGCAAGAGTCCATAGTAGTGAGCGGGTGATCTCTGGTGGTGAGCGAACGGAAGTGCATGGACCGGATTCGTGACACCTGGGTTATTTGTAATCACGTTTCACACTGCTCATACTATACCTGGGGTTAACTGTTAATCCTGGGAATTCATTAACAGACGTTTCACACTGTACATTCCTAAACCCCGGGTTAACGTTCTTATTTGCATATTTGCGGTGTCACTGTCACTGCCACTGCCACTGATTGGATGAACAGCAGGCGGCTTTTCCTGCATCTTGCCAGTTATGAAAAAAAATGTCGTTGCGTAGGTCCTCCAATTTGTCTTGAACAGACTTTTCTGACCATAACTGTAAGAATAATACCATCTCCTCATCACTCCAGTTCACATGCTACGTCTTTTGACATTTCTTACTTTTCTCTCACTGGCTGCTGTTTACACAACGCGCGTTTCCTGTTACTGATGTGACATTAGCCTTGATGCTCAATTTCTGATTGGCTATCTGTTGCCAGGCGTCCAGCAGCAACAAGCAAACGCCGTTCCGTTTCACACTGAAAAAACTTAGCACCGCAAATGCGGTAAACTAGCTCTGTTTTATGGTTTGTATATTTGCTTTATTAGTTCAAATTCCCTTTTTTAATGACAAATACAGATTACTGTCATCTGCTGTTGTGGACAGTTTTTATCTCTCACTCAGGAACAGAATTTACAAGTTTGGTGGCCGTCGTTGTGTTCAAGCACAACTTTTTTGCCAAGGCGAAGCTGATGGGAACCAACACCGCCATCTACTTTCATCTATTCATTTTCAGGTACATTGTTGTTGTTTCCAGCAATTTTCAAAAATAATCAGATGTTCACTTTACTTAAACTCAGAAAAGAGTCTAAACTCAGAGTTTAGATTGAGAAATTTCTTTTCAGTGTTGTGTGCAAAATGCATTAGATGATCAGAGAAAGGACTGTGAGTGGTTTGGTGAGCAGTGCTTCTCTAGTCTAGAGTTTAAGTGTCACATGACAAAATTTTATACTTAGAGAATAGCATTAATATAATTAGTATACTATTGTTCAGTTCCAGCAAAGCTGTTTCAGTGGAACATGACCGTGTGAAACAGTCAACCTTATGTCAGAATTTCTTTTCTCTGTGCTCTTTACGCCTAATAAAGGCACTTTCTCTGTGGTTTTAGGTCAACAGCTTTGTGATTCCAGGATGATTTATTTTTTGACAGCTCTGCCACTCTTCACTTCATGAACATAGGGTCTCACAATGTCTACCTGCAGTCTCAGAGCATATGCCCACGGACCACCCACAGGCTGACTGCTATAAAACTGCCAAATGCTGTCTAAAAAAATCTGTCTGGCTGGCTTCTATGCAATTTCCAGCAGTTTGGGTGAACTTGGAAATGAAGTTGTATTCATAAGGTACCAGGTTGATGCACTGGATTTGCTAAGGTTTGCCAGTGACATAAAATGTTTGAAATACATTCACAGTTTTGTTAGAGACACTTAGCAAGTAATCAAATTACTGACAAACAGTGTATTCTGCTTTAATTCTGTTTATGAAATACTCCTGATTACTTTTGGAAGAACAGAAATTGTTATCACAAAGTTTCTGTTAATTTCGTCGCTGTTTTCTGTGCAACAAATTGTGAAAAACACTGCTGTGCAATTTTTGCTACATGGCATTCTATTATTGTGACATTAACTACTTGTGATAAACCCACCCCTAAAAGGTCTATAAAAACAAAGCAAACTGTGATTGGTCGCTTTATATATTTATCAGATAGACACTTCCTGTTTAGGTGGGTGGATCTTCACCAGAAAAAGCTGCACTGTGGAGCACACTATGTTCCATTAGTCAAAGATCTGGCTACTTCACTCTGTACTATTATTTAAAAAGAGTTATATCGAGCTTTTAGTTACTTTTTCAATATCATATTGTATTTTATATAAACATTTTTAATGTTACAAAGTTTGTATGAATGCATGTATTTCAGTAAAAAAAATAAATAAAAAAAAAAATAATATCAAAAATAAATAAAAAAAGATTGGTTCTTAAATAGTATTTAAACGTTTTAATTGGAACATTTAAAATGATCTGTTGTTCAAATATATATTGAATCGTCTAATTACTGTACTGATGATGACACAATCTATTGTTTTAAACTAAAACAAGTCAATAGTTGAAGTCATGTGAAAAAAATAGCAAGATGTCTATTGTGTTTAATAGCTCATGAATTGAACCAACATCCTTTCAGTTACAAGCCCAGATCTACACCTCACGTTGTAGTGGTTTTTGTTCTATTTGCTTCATGTCTGCTTCTTCTATGACGCTAAGCCAGGCGGAAAACCATACAACGGTCTTTGCACGTTTTCTTTCACAGCTTTGACCAGTGGAATTTATCCACCACATTGCATCATTTAACTACAAACCTGATCGTTTTACAGAACTTTCCATTCTCACACAAAATATTATTTTAATGAAGTATGCCAAGTGCTATGTTCTCGATATAGTCACAGCTAAAGGGGTGTTGTTAAACATAAGTGCTTTATTGCAGTTTTTTTCACTTTTTTTCCATTTTCATTCAAATTTTATATTGCTATGCAAATTCAAATGACTCCCTTCCACTGGACAATACAGCCTATGATACAATGTTGCCACACAGAAAACATAACTACATGGGAGCTGCACAGTAATATGGTGTAGAGGTGTTTTGTATCAGAGCATCAGCATCCAGAACTGGAACCATCCATTTTATAATTACTTTTAAACTACGGTGATCTTTGCATTCTTACATCCCTTTTTCATTTTCACCCACACTGAAGAAGTCCAGTCAAAATACTGAACATGGTCCTCATAAGTGATTCAAAATAACTTAAATAGTTTAAAATTAGAATTAAATGGTTTTGTGAAAGAAGCATACAAATAGACAACTGCTTGTGCATTGGTCCACAAATGTTTTCTATGGTACGGAGGTCCTAGAATACAGGAAGTGTGTGGGTTATGAGTCTTGTCTCACAACTCATCAAAGAAGCTGTTTTAATGTGCACTACTAAGTTTAACGGTTCAATTTAAAGAAAATATTAGTATTGACCCTAAATACATTTAATTCATTATATGCACATGAATGTTTGGGCGATTTACTCTATGAAGGCATTGCATATATTTGTTCCGAGTCTGAAGTGCTACGTTGTGCCACTCAGACATACTGTAAAAAAAAAAAACATTTTTGCCATATTAGAACTTAAATATATAACAATAAACAATTATAAGACAGTTGACATTTTAAGAATACTTTTAAGAAGTTGGCATGGTGTTGACATGCTGTACTCTATGTCAAACTATTTCAAACTACATTTTTGTTGTTGTTTAATCATTTTATACATGATTTTATGAGCTTGTAGTTTGTATATATATATGTA